AATGGAAATTCATCTACAAAACACACACGCAGAGACCTTAAAATGTCCCCATAACTCAGCTTTAATGGACATTCAACTACAAAACAAACACTCAGAGACCTTAAAATGTTCCCAAAACTCAGTTTTAATGGAAATTCATTTACAAAACACACACTGAGACCTTAAAATGTTCCCAAAACTCAGTTTTAATGGAAATTCATCTACAAAACACACACTCAGAGACCTTAAAATGTCCCCATAACTCAGCTTTAATGGAAACTAATCTACAAAACACACACGCAGAGACCTTAAATTGTCCCCATATTGCAGGTTTAATGGAAATTAATCTACAAAACACACACTGAGACCTTAAAATGTCCCCATAACACAGCTTTACTGGAAATTCAACTACAAATCACACACTGAGGCCTTAAAATGTCCCCATAACACAGCTTTACTGGAAACTCATCTACAAAACACACACTCAGAGACCTTACAATGTCCCCATGACTCAGCTTTAATGGAAATTCAACTACAAAACACACAGCGGGGCCTTAAAATGTCCCCATAACTCAGCTTTAATGGAAATTCAACTACAAAACACACACTCAGAGGCCTTAAAATGTCCCCATAACTCAGCTTTAATGGAAATTCATCTACAAAACACACACTGAGACCTTAAAATGTCCCCATAACACAGCTTTAATGGAAATTCAACTACAAAACACACACTCAGAGGCCTTAAAATGTCTCCATAACTCAGTTTTAATGGAAATTCAACTGCAAAACACACACTCAGAGACGTTACAATGTCCCGATACCTCAACCTTAATGGAAATTCATCTACAAATCACACACTGAGGCCTTAAAATGTCCCTATGACTCAGCTTTAATGGAAATTCAACTACAAAACACAGAGCAAGGCCTTAAAATGTCCCCATAACTCAGTTTTAATGGAAATTCAACTACAAAACACTTCCAGAAACCTTAAGATGTCTCCATAACTCAGCTTTAATGGAAATTCATCTACAAAACACACATGCTGAGACCTTAAAATGTCCCCAAAACTCAGCTTTAATGGAAATTCATCTACAAAACACACACGCTGAGACCTTAAAATGTTCCCAAAACTCAGCTTTAATGGAAATTCATCTACAAAACTCTTACAGAAACCTTAAGATGTCTCCATAACTCAGTTTTAATGGAAATTCAACTACAAAACACACACAGAAGCCTTAAAATGTCCCTATAACTCAACCTTAATGGAAATTCATCTACAAATCACACACTGAGGCCTTAAAATGTCCCCATAACACAGCTTTAATGGAATACATCTACAAAACACACATTGAGGCCTTAAAATGTCCCCATATCTCAGCTTCAATGGAAATTCAACTACAAAACACACAGCGAGGCCTTAAAATGTCCCCATAACTCAACTTTAATGGAAACTCATCTACAAAACACACACTGAGACCTTAAAATGTCTCCATAACTCAGTTTTAATGGAAATTCAACTATAAAACACACGGCGAGGCCTTAAAATGTCCCCATGACTCAACCTTAATGGAGATCCATCTACAAATCACACACTGAGACCTTAAAATGTCCCCACAACTCAACCTTAATGGAAATTCATCTACAAATCACACACTGAGGCGTTAAAATGTCCCCATGACTCAGCTTTAATGGAAATTCAACTACAAAACACAGAGAAAGGCCTTAAAATGTCTCCATAACTCAGTTTTAATGGAAATTCAACTGCAAAACACACACTCAGAGACCTTACAATGTCCCTATAACTCAACCTTAATGGAAATACATCTACAAAACACACACGCAGAGACCTTAAGATGTCTCCGTAACTCAGCTTTAATGGAAATTCATCTATAAAACACACAGCGAGGCCTTAAAATGTCCCCATAACTCAGCTTTAATGAAAATTCAACTACAAAACACACACAGAAGCCTTAAAATGTCCCGATAACTCAGCTTTAATGGAAATTCAACTACAAAACACACACCGAGGCCTTAAAATGTCCCCACAACTCAACCTTAATGGAAATTCATCTGCAAATCACACACTGAGGCCTTAAAATGTCCCCAAAACACAGCTTTAATGGAAATTCAACTACAAAACATACAGCAAGGCCTTAAAATGTCCCCATAACTCAGCTTTAATGGAAATTCAACTACAAAACACACACTGAGACCTTAAAATGTCTCCATAACTCAGTTTTAATGGAAATTCAACTATAAAACACACGGCGAGGCCTTAAAATGTCCCCATGACTCAACCTTAATGGAGATCCATCTACAAATCACACACTGAGACCTTAAAATGTCCCCACAACTCAACCTTAACGGAAATTCATCTACAAATCACACACTGAGGCCTTAAAATGTCCCTATGACTCAGCTTTAATGGAAATTCAACTACAAAACACACAGCAAGGCCTTAAAATGTCCCCATAACTCAGCTTGAATGGAAATTCAACTATAAAACACACGGCGAGGCCTTAAAATGTCCCCATGACTCAACCTTAATGGAGATCCATCTACAAATCACACTCAGAGGCCTTAAAATGTCCCCATAACTCAGCTTTAATGGAAATTCATTTACAAAACACACACTGAGACCTTAAAATGTCTCCATAACTCAGTTTTAATGGAAATTCATTTACAAAACACACACTCAGAGACCTTACAATGTCCCTATAACTCAACCTTAATGGAAATAAATCTACAAAACACACACGCAGAGACCTTAAGATGTCTCCGTAACTCAGCTTTAATGGAAATTCAACTACAAAACACAGAGCAAGGCCTTAAAATGTCCCCATAACTCAGCTTGAATGGAAATTCAACTACAAAACACACAGCGAGGCCTTAAAATGTCCCCATAACTCAGCTTCAATGAAAATTCAACTACAAAACACACACAGAAGCCTTAAAATGTCCCGATAACTCAGCTTTAATGGAAATTCAACTACAAAACACACACCGAGGCCTTAAAATGTCCCCATAACACAGCTTTAATGGAATACATCTACAAAACACACAGCGAGGCCTTAAAATGTCCCCATAACTCAGTTTTAATGGAAATTCAAATATAAAACACACAGCGAGGCCTTAAAATGTCCCCATAACTCAACTTTAATGGAAATTCAACTACAAAACACACACTGAGACCTTAAAATGTCTCCATAACTCAGTTTTAATGGAAATTCAACTATAAAACACACGGCGAGGCCTTAAAATGTCCCCATGACTCAACCTTAATGGAGATCCATCTACAAATCACACACTGAGACCTTAAAATGTCTCCATAACTCAGTTTTAATGGAAATTCATCTACAAATCACACACTGAGGCCTTAAAATGTCCCCATGACTCAGCTTTAATGGAAATTCAACTACAAAACACACAGCAAGGCCTTAAAATGTCCCCATAACTCAACTTTAATGGAAATTCAACTACAAAACACACACTGAGACCTTAAAATGTCTCCATAACTCAGTTTTAATGGAAATTCAACTATAAAACACACGGCGAGGCCTTAAAATGTCCCCATGACTCAACCTTAATGGAGATCCATCTACAAATTACACACTGAGGCCTTAAAATGTCCCCATGACTCAGCTTTAATGGAAATTCAACTACAAAACACACAGCAAGGCCTTAAAATGTCCCCATAACTCAGCTTTAATGGAAATTCAACTACAAAACACACACTGAGACCTTAAAATGTCTCCATAACTCAGCTTTAATGGAAATTCAACTACAAAACACACAGCAAGGCCTTAAAATGTCCCCATAACTCAGCTTTAATGGAAATTCAACTACAAAACACAGAGCAAGGCCTTAAAATGTCCCCATAACTCAGCTTTAACGGACATTCATCTACAAAACACACAGCGAGGCCTTAAAATGTCCCCATGACTCAACCTTAATGGAAATTCATCTACAAATCACACACCGAGGCCTTAAAATGTCCCTATAACTCAGCTTTAATAGAATACATCTACAAAACACACACTGAGACCTTAAAATTTCCCCATAACTCAGGTTTAATGGAAATTCAGCTCAAAACAGAAGCAGTAAAGGGGGAAACACGCAGAACACAGGCTGCTCAGGCTCTTCTGTTTTTCTTCTGGCCAGCTGGGCTACTGAAGCATGCTGCCTGATGACCCCCATCGTCCTTCAAAATAAGAGTCTTGGACCAACTAAGAACACACTGCCTAACTACACTCAATCAAAAGCAACAAAGTTTTTTTTTTAAACTAAATACAACCCGACGTGTATGACGCCACACTGTATGATCACTACCCAAAAAATAATGTGTTTGCTCTTGTGTGCCTATATGTAAAATATGTGTGTATATATATATATATATATATATATATATATATATATATATATATATATATATATATTTGGTTTTGTCGTTGAGATAGTGCTGAGTGTTTCTCAACCGTTCAGTGCACAACAAATATTCCTGCAGGTCTGATGTAATTAGCATTTCGCTCTTTTTATTTTGCGTAATAGTAAATGTTGCTTTCTTTTGTAATTTTGGATTTTGCTATTTGTTTAAAGAGGGTTTAAAGAGAGGTTAGTTAATTTTCTGTTTACATATCCTCAAAAAATGTCTGTACTTGGTTAACATCCAGCCAGAGACACATTATTTTAATAGTAATTTATCACTTCTCATATTGTCATTGTGATATCTGACAGCTTTATTGAACATTGCATTTTATGTCACTTTCGTGCAGCCCTAATTCCATTAATGTAGTAATCCTTTAGATTAGGTTACAATTACGTTTTTACCAGGAAATCAGTAATCTGTCATGGGATACATTTTTAAAGTAACCCTCTTAACCGTGTACCCGAGTGTAACCCAGAAAGTGATCGTTGTGAAGCTCATCTGTAGGTAATGGTTCCTGTATCCACTGAGGCTCTGGGCTCTGTCTCATATGCAGGGAGTGTTGACCTCTTTCTTTCCTTTTGCTCTGTATGTGTAGGTGGTGGTTCGTGAGCTGATGATGCAGTATACCAGGCAGTTTGAGGACAGTATGGTGGCTGGTTTGATCAGAAACTGGACCAGCTCTGCCTCCGACAGCCTCCGGACCAGGTCCAAACAGTCTAATCTTAATTTACTATCATGTTCAGTTTAACCGTCTTCAATGTGGTTGCTGTCTTAAACCTCATATGTCTGAAGGATAACTTCACTGGAGAAGGAGAAACATTCTTACGTTACATGTACGCCCATGTAACAAGTGCTTTTGACCATTTCTGTTGGTCAATTTGTCATAAAATTGTTCACCCAGTGTTAATGGCACCTGGCACTATCAAGTGTAAAAAAATATATATATGAATAATAAAATACTACTTCTAAAGTCTAGATATGTCAGATGCTCTCATAGGCTAAAACATTATAACCAGTTGTATTATATCACAGCTTCCACTCTTCTGGGAAGCTTTCCACAAGATTTTGGACTGTGTCTGTGGGTATTTGTGCCCATTCAGTCAAAACATCATTTTTGAGGTCAGACACTGATGTTGGAGGAGAGGGCCTGGCTCACAATCTCCATTCCAGTTCATCCCAAAGGTGTTCAGTGGGGTTGATGTCAGGGCTCTGTGAGGGCCACTGGAGTCCACATGAAACTGGTTAAAACTTGTCTTTATGTAGCTACTTTGTGCACAGGGACTCAGTCATGCTGGAACAGCAAAGGCTTTTCCCCAAACTGCTGACACAAAGCTGGAAGCAGATAACTGTTTAAAATGTCTTTGTGCTGTAGCTTTAACATCACCCTTCACTGGAACTGAGGGGCCCAAACCCTGAAAAACAGCCCAGCCTATCATCCCTCCTCCACCAAACTTTACTTTTGGCACTGTGCATTCCGGTAGGTAGTGTTCTCCTGGCATCCACCAAACCCAGATTCATCATCAGACTGATAGATAAGAAAAGCTGATTCATCACTCCAGAGAATACATTTCCACTGCTCCACAGTCCAGTGGTGGCGCTTTTCACCACTCCAGCCGACATCTGGCATTACGTATAGTGATCTTAGCTTAGTGCAGCTGCTTGGCCATTAAACCATTTCATAAGGGTCCTGGCACACAGTTATTGTGCTGATGTTCCTGTTTGGAGACAGTTTGGAGGTCTGTAGTGAGTGTTGCAACAAAAGATTGCTACGTGCGTCAGAACTCATGCGCCACTCTGTGAGTTTGAGTGGTTTAGCACTTTGTGGCTGAGCTGTTGTTGCTCCTAGATGCTTCCATTTTACAGTAATAGCACTTACAGTTGGCCAGGACAGGGTTTAAGGTCAAATTTCTGCAAAAGTTAACAGGAATGTTGTCTAAATGTATTTGTTGGGACAGTTGTAGACCTGCTCTACCCCATCATACAGACCACACATACAGACTAGGGGAAATTTCTTACCTAAAGCCACAGAAATCCGGTACTAAAGCAGGTAATATAGGAATAACTTTAAAGTTTAATATGGGATTTATGCAAAAGTCATATTGTCTTCAAATAATTGTGTACAGTTGTTCACCTGCAGTACCACAAAATGCTCATTGTTTAAAAAACTAAGAAAAATGTATTAATTACATCAATAACAATAAGTTACTGAAGCATGTGATACAAGAATTAAACCAAAGTGTGTGATTTTTCTGCCAAATTTAACAGAAATTTTATCTGAAATTAAATCTGTGGACAGTGCTAGACCTGCAAATTCTGTGTAGAACCTATGGGGCATTTCTTAACAACAGCCTACCAATTTTGATTACTGAAGTCTGAAAAACAGAGATAAGGTGGAATTTCTGCAAAAAACATAATAAAAATATGGTCTGAAATTAATCAAGGAAACAGTTCTAGGCTCTCAGTACCACACTGTGCTCATTCATTTTGGAAATTATAGGACATTTCCTAACAATGGCCACCCAAGTTTGGTTACCAAAGCATGTAATATAGGTTTAAAAAATTTTAATTTAGAAATTTCTAAATTACATGAAAATCCAATAGAGCAGCGTAACTCTGCTAGCTTTGCGCTAACATACAATGCTGAAAATACCAGGAGGGTTAGCAGAAATTAGCATTTTCATAGTGTTTATAAGTTTGGCTCATAGTAGTAACATGATCAAACAGTCAAAATGGAATATCTTTATTATCATAACCCAGATAGCGAGCATATACTGGTCTGCTGGCTTGTTAAGATCAGCACCCTGCTGGTCCACCCAGATTACTGTTCTACATACAAGGCCTAGCTAGTTTTTAATCTATATAAATTACCGCTTTTTATTTTGAAAAATAATTAAGACATAGGGCCTCATTTACCAGTCTCTTCCTAAATTTGTTCTTAAATGTGTTTTTGAGAAAGGTCCTAAGAAAAAGTCTTACGAATTACAAAAAGATAACAAAAGAAAGAAATGAAGGAAAAAAATAAATACATTGGACTTTGAGTGAAAATGAGTGATGAAAAGTGGCATTTTGTCTAATACTCTGCTTAACCACCAGTTGGCCACCCGGAAAACACTGAGCAAAAAGAACTAGATGGTTCATTCTACAGAAATGTCTATTTCTGTGTCCCTAGCGTTTACAGATATATTACACTTAAAAAACATGTTAGGGTTACAATTTATTTATATTTCAAAATAAAACAATAAGTTTTTTTAACAATTCCACCTTCTTGAGTCTCAATTTAGCAATATTGGTTTTTACATCAATCATATAGAATTCCAAGCACCACAGAAGAGCTCATCCCCACAGTCATGTGTGAAGGCTGAGGCCATATTTTGAAGAAAAAAACATGTTTTTCTGCAATTTTAACTGCAATAATCTATACACAACTATGAAATATATAAATTAAATAACAAAGAAAAACAAACACCAAATAAATATTATAAAATATTTAATGAAAGTTGTTGTCCCCAGGAGTCGTGTCACTGGTGTTACTGCGTAACAAAAAATCTCTTATTTTGAAATAAAAGTCACACTGATGACATCACTCGACTTCCTTTTACCTGTTTTCTGAGGATCTATGAAGAAAAGCACATGGTGAGTCCACTGTGTCTTTCAGTTATCAGAGATTTTCTCATTTAGCTCATGATTTCATATGAAGCTTTTAGCTGAAGTCACTGGTGTGACCCACTTTTTTCTGAGGTATTTGTGAAAAAATAGAATACAAATGGATTAAATTCCATATTTTAGTGGACATTCCATGATTGACAACATGTGGTTTGATGCTCTGTAGCAGCCATTTTGTAAAATGCATTGTTCATTAAAAATGTCTCTGGTGTTCCTTTATTATGTGCAACACCAATGAGGATCAGTAACACCAGTGACTCCTATGGAGAGATAGCAAAGTGGACGCTTCTGTAGAATGACCCAGAATTAGAATGAGTTTTATTGGCCAAGTGTATTTCCACACGACAATGAATTTGTCTCCGGGTTACAGTGCTTATAAACGGTGCAGTTGCCATGACACTTGCATATAACAATATGATAAAAGACATGATTTGCAACCAACATGCTGCTTATATAACTACAACAAGCCAGTGGGCTGCCAGCTTTGCCGTCAGTGGGCCAACAGCGGCCTGCTATCCTCTCAATTCAGCCTGGAAATAAAGTCCTCTGACTAAAGTGTTTCTCTCACGCAGGTTTAGGATTCTGTCGACAGATTGATTACAAACATCCATTTCTATCCTGGTAGGATGTTACCAGAATTCAGCATATGGGATGGTCATGCTTTGCCGGACCTTTTGTCCAAAAGTCACTCAGAGTGTTTTGAGGTGCAGGAGTAACATGGATTCTTTTATTTCAAGCTTCACAATGGCCCTCCTTGAGTACGTGCTTAGCTCCGCCGCTGGTTAGCGGAGGAAAAATGGTCTTCTTAACAGCTTGTTTATGTGAACGTGTATGTTCTGCCTTGCAGTTTCCTGGGTTTCTCAGTGGATAAGGTCGGAGACCTGAGCTTCCTGTTGAAAGCCTTGAGCTACAGGGAGAGGGTCTTGCAGCGCAGCCTAGCTGCACGACTTCACGCTAAGGTCAGTGTCACTCTGGGCCTCTTTCAGATGGGTTGGAAAAAAAACTGTTTCCTGTACATGTTTTCAACTGTTATTTATTTCGTGGTGGCGGTGGGGTGGTTTAGGGTGGAGGCAGAGTGTTGTTCAATGGGCTGTCTGTATGTACCCACTATTTCCTAAGAGGCGTTCTTTCATTAGAATACAATAGTAGTTTAAATAGAATCTAATAATCCTATTATAAACCTAATTCCAATCAAGTTGGACAGTGTGTGAAGAACTGATAAAAACAGAAAGCAGTGATTTGTAAAGTCTGTTTGACCTGCGTTAAATTGAAAACAGTACAAAAACACAATATTTGATACTTTATGAACTTTATTGTTTTTTTGTAAATATCACCTTTCCATTAACAGCACTTATACAAGTCTTTAGCTGCACAACCATATGTGGCTTTGGTTGTTGTGTTTCACACCAAATGTGCCACATGTTTTCAGAGGGAGACAGACAGGTCAGTCTAGCACCTGCACTCTCTGATTACACAGCCATGTTTTTATAACGCATGCAGAATGCTTCCCCACATATGACGACAGATGCTGGATTTTGAACTTTACACTGGAAACAATCTGGATGGTCCTCTTCTTCTTTGGCCCAGAGAACACAATGTACATAATTTCCATGAACAATCTGAAAGGCTGACTTGTCAGACCACAATACGTGTTTCCACTGAGCATCAGTTCATTTCAGATGAGCTTGAGCCCAGAGAAGTCGGCGGTGTATTATACAGTCTTAACATGCGTTTTTGGATGCGATGACAGATGGTGTTTATTCACAATGGGTTGTCAAAATGTTCCAAAGCCCATGTGTTGATCTCCATTACAGAAACATAAGGGTTTTTAATGCAGTGCTGTCTAAGGGGTCAAAGGTCAGTTGTGGTGTTCAGTCTTGCCCTTTACACATACAATTCTCAAGATTTCCTGAATCTTTTAATGGTTATCATGCACTGAGGAGGGTAAAATACCTAAAATCCTTGCAATCAAAAGGACTTGGCCTTTCCTGGATATTTTGCCTTATATCTAAGCATGATTGCATCTTTATTTTTGATGTTTTTTGAAAATTTAACAATTTTCCTAGTCCTAAATTGTCTTAAAATAGTCTTAAATTGTCCCTGTCCCAACTTTTTGGGAGGTTTTTCAGGCATCAATTTTATAATGAGCAAATCTTTACATTTATGGTTTGAAAACAATGAAGTTGATCAGATAAAACATTAAATATCTTGTCTTTATATTGTTTTTTGTTGAAATACAAGCAGATTTACAAATCGCTCCTTTCTGTTTTCATTTACATTTTTATTTTTTATATATTATTATTATTTTCTTGCAAAAAAGTAATTGCCCCTTAAAATTAAGAACTTGTTTTATGACATTTAGCAGCTGATGTCTCTTAAAATTTGATGTCCCAACTTTACTGTCCCAACTTTTTTGGAACTGGAGTTGTATAACTCTAATTATGTTACCCTGAGCAGATAAACAAGAACAAAGAAGAGTTCTTCAGTGCCTGGAATTCGTGCCTGCATCATGTGACCAGCCTCGCCCTCGCACACATCCACAAAGGTGAGGGTTCCATCACAGCACGCATTGTATTATTTTAACTATTTCTGTTGTGGGTCTCTTTTTTTAAAGAAAATTGATGGATGATTGCATGTTCAGTTAATGTACATATATCCCAATTTAAACAGAAAAGTAGAGGAAAATGTCGAAAATATCAAATTGGGCATCATTCTTTATATATCAGCAGCTTAGAGGCACATGTGTATACCGTACGGTGCTGTGATCACTGTTCGCCCCCTCCTGATTTTCTCTGTTATTGCAAAAGTTTTCTAACTTGCGAATCACCTGTGTGAAAAAGTAATCACCCCGTTAAAATTAAGAACTTGTTTTGTGAGTTTTAGCAGCTGACATTTCCTATAAATTGACATCAGCCTTTCACAACGTTGTGGAGAAATTTATGTCCGCTCTGCTTTGCTGAGCCGCTCTCATTCAGATAGGCCCTGACACAGCATCTCTGTTGGGTTCAACTTCAAGTCAGGACTTGGACGAGGCCACTCCAAAACATTACTTTTGGATTTGCTCTTACTTTTTGAATCATTGTCTTGCTGCACACCAGATAATGTTTAGCTCGTAACAGAACAGAATTCATGGTTCTTTCAATAATAGCAAGTTCTGAGGCTGTAAAACATCCCCACACCTTCGCACTACCACCACTATGTTTCAATGTTGGTATGATGTTCCTGCTGTGAAATGCAGCTCTTGCTTCACAGCAGATATTAAGGAACCTAAGCTGTCCTTCTGACTGCTCAGCCCATAGATTATTGTGCTGAATGGCTTAGCAATTGTTCAGGTGCCTTTTTGCAAATGTCTCTTTGGGTTGCCAGTTTTAGCTGCTCTTTTCTTAATGCCGCTTTGCCCAGTTTTTACTGTGGAGTCATTACCACTGACCTTAGCTGAGGCTAGAGAGGCCTACAGTTCTTTGGATGTTCTCCTGGAACATTAGGTGACGTGCTGCTGAGAAATAGTGGACATTTGGCAGGCTGGGCACTCCTGCATTTCTGGAAAGATTCACCCATTTTCTTAGGGTTCTTAGTTTGTAGATAGTGGCTCTCCCTTTTTTTTTAGTGAAGTCCTAAAACTTGAGAAATGCTTTTGTCTTTTACATTTTAGCAGCTTTTTTTCTTGCCTCTTTTGTAGTTTTCTTTTAACCATGGCCTGGTGTGCTTACAGGGTTGGGTAGCTGTTGGATAAGTGTAATTTGGTACTGTTCAAATAGGCAGTAATCGGATTATAGGTACATACAACAATGCCAGTTAGTATCAGGACTGCATTCAAACCACATACATGCAAATATTCACCTTTCGCCGAAATGTTCTGTTTTGAATGCTGAATATGTCACATGATTCATGTAGATTTGAAGAGTTCATCATTTTGGGAGGGGCTCAGGGCCACTGCCAGAAGAGAAATCAATTCCACAAGCAGCAGCTCACGTCGTGTCATTTGGCCAATCCGTAGAATTTTTTATTCCAGAACAGAGTTTAGAAACTAGAAATAAGCTTTTATTTTCACTTTTTGCCTCTTATTCTACAGTTAAACTGTGTGTAAATCAATATTTTGCTAACATGCTGAAGTGAGCTAACATTAAAGAAGACGAATAATGTCAAACAGAGGAATAAATGTCTTGTGCGAATTAAAATTTGTGTCATTTTTGCCTGTATTTCATTGTTTAGTAGTTTCTGGTGGGTTCAAATATGTTAAAATGGGTGATCATCATTATTTGTAACTAAAATATTCAGCTTCGACTTAACTTTTATGTGAAATGAATACCTTTTAAACCTCATAGGACACGTCGATTTCTGCGGCTGAAAGCTGAGCAAATGTCCACCAATTACAAACAGCACTCGCCGAAGCCTAAGCGCAAACGCACCAGTATGAAGCCTTATGAGTCAGTACAGACCTTTTAGTGGATAAAACATTGTGAAAATGATAGTCAGTTAGAGGTTTTTTAGAGCGGCCTCTGCTGTAATTATGTTTTGAGGGATCTCAAATGAAGATTTATACCAGACTGACCTTTTGACCTATAAAGCACAGGTGGTAGATTACTATAAAGTCACCTATAATCTACCATTTAGCTTAATAAAACAGGGCAGTTTTGCTTATGATAAGTAAAAGTCATTTTGCTGTATTTCTCTTGTTTTTATGGCTTTATGAAAAGACACACAATCCAAAAGTGACAAAAAGTAATCAGACTACATTACTTCATTACAGTAATCCTTCTGCTTGGCAACAGATTACATTTTTAAACCTGTCACCAGGTGATGGTAAACTTCTATATGAGTGATGTTTACATTCCACAGGACTGGCTGCATTCGAGCCTGACTGTGTTCAGTCGCTGTCAGGTTTATTTGGTTGATTAGTTACTTCAGCAGTTGTTACTTTTTCCACATTTAGGGGGCAGATACTTTTTCACGATATAACTTTGCTGTTTAAGTGACATTTAACAAATGTTTTATTTTTGTTTGAAAGGTTCTCTTTGTCTAATACTACATGCTTAAAAAGATGGTTCTTCAAGGGTACTTTAGTAAAGAAACGGTTCTATATAGAACCATGAAGATTCAAAGAACCTTTTGCATGATTTAATGGTTCTATGCATGGTGAAATCGTTCAGATTGATGGAGAATGTGCTTTAGAAGGTTCTATATAGAACCTTTTTGAAAAGGGTTCTATATAGTAGCAAAAAGAAGAACCCTTTTGGTGGTGTGTAGAACGCTTTTCAGGAAGGTTGCATATAGAAACATCCACATCAACACATTTTCCATCAATCTTTTATGATGCAAAGAACCCTTAAACCATGCAAAGTGTTCACTGAGTGTTCATGGTTCTATATAGAAGCATATTCTTTACTCAAGAACCCTTGAAGAACCATCTTTTTTAAGAGTGTAGATTTAGTTTAGATTAACTGTGACAGATAAGCAATGACAGAGAAAATCAGGCGGCAGTTCACAGTGCTGTATTTCTGTATATGTGCCTTGCAGTGTGTTTTAAACCAAAGAGCTATACAAGGCTGATTACCCCCCCTCACACACACACACACACACACACACCACCACCGATACTAAATTTCCATTCTCTCATCCTCCTCCCACACACAGACAGAAACGCACACACAACAACATGCACTTCTTACAGATGCGACTGATAACAGAGAGGGACATTTATTCTTATGCCACACCACAGCTTCAGTCTGCACTCTTTGTTATGCAAATCAAACAAAACTAGCTTTAAATGCTGACCAACATTAAAGAAAAGCAAAAAGATCATTATGCTGCAGTTGTTGAATAGCTGCACATCCCATGCAGTGATGTTGCCTAATGATTTACTTACATGACGCTGCTGTTGGGACCTTGTATCTCCATTTTTCAGTTTTTCAGTTTTTGACATAATTTGAAGATGCATGTTGCTCTTTACATTGCGTGTCATGATGAATGGACCAAAAGAAACGGCCCAAAATTACTTGAAAAAAAGTCTGGTTCCATTGACTTACATTAAAAGTAAAGTAGTTTTTTTCCTCCTCCTGTAAAGTTACCATTTTGGAGATACAAGGTTTTCTTCCAACAACAGCGATAAACAATTAATATAATTAAACTTCTTACGGAATTCATCCCTTGTGATTTACTTAAAGGGGAATTACACCGATTTTGCAAAATTTCAGCATAATTAAATCATCAAGATGAACAAAGTCAGTGTGAAGTTGTTCATTGTAGGGAATTCTTTACAGTGGTGGTGATAGGAACCAGGGGTCTCAATGTCTACAACACAAATATAGACATTTTATTTACTATCCAGAACCACCAGTGAACCTACACGAGTCTTCTGAGTTTATATGGAATGTTGATGATGGAAAATAGTGGAAAATCATAAAATAAATCCTGCATAATTCATTTTTATTAAACAGGCTGTGTTTGTTACTGTGCCTTTAAGACTGACATATGTAAGTGACTTCTATTCTGATTGGCTGACCAGTTTTGTGCTTCCTTCAGAAAGCACTCAGAGCTGAAACACTGCTTGTAACTTCAGTGTGAGTGGGCGGGGCTAAACTTCTATAGACTGAATAGGTTTGAATATAAATGTGTTGATTCTCGAGACATCACAGCATCAGTTCAATTCAAAATGGGCTGATTTTGCAGGATAGTTTCCATTTTCTGACTGTATGGTACGTTTTGAAACTTTAAAATGTGTACACATTACTTCAGACTCCTTTATTTAAAAATAAATACTGAGGGGAATTCAGTTTTCTGTGATATGGGCTCTTTAACAAAATGCTTTTCTTTGTAGTTGTTTGTAGTAATTTGCCTTACAGCACCCAGCATGTACCCTTTCACTATGAATGGATTTCAAAAAAAGGTCAAAATCTTCCCAAAACTATCATAAAACAGTGTCTCAGTCATCAGGCAGTGAATTCATAACCATTTCATGTAGGAGCTTTCTGTGAGGGAGCTTTTAGAGGTGGACGTCTGGTTCCTATCACCACCACTGTGCAGAAATTTTGAAAAAATGAAGAAATGCTTTCTACTTCTTTCCATTCTGGTCAGTTATAACAAACACTATTACTGTTGTCTTGGTGTGTTTGACAGAAATGGCCAGTCATCATGTACAGCTGGAATACTGCGTGCTTTTCTCTTTGTTTGACTTTCTGTCTTTTGTTCACTTTGTTTAATCCCCATCAGTGACCTTGGAGCAGTTTGCGCTGGCCGTCCAAGAATGCCAGGTGAACGGCGACCGCGACTTGTTAACCAAGGTACGTGTGAAAGCAGGTTTCCACTCCGCCGTGCGCTGCGCTGCAAGCCACTCTCTTCCTCTTTTGACTCATCAGACACGGCCTGTGGAAAGTTCTCAGAAGCTGTGCGAACACTGCTTTTGTTTGCCCACAGTGAAGACGGTCGAGGTTTGCCATCGGGTCTTTGAGCAGTGGAAACAAAACAAAAAAAACAGTTGTTGCTGTTCACCGCCAGCTCTGGACATAAGTGTGTTTGTGTGCAGGTGAGGGGTAGACTGAGCTCAGTCTGTGCTCTTCTGTGCTCCTAATGTGGAGCTCCACCTTGCAGGTGGTCCTCCAGCTGGAGAAGCAGGAGCCCAGTTTCAGGATTGATTAACTGCAACTGCAAAAAACAACAACAGAAAAATATCAAAAGACCTTTAAAGGGCCCTACATGGATCCTACATTCACAGTGTAGTTACATCTTTTCCTCCTGAGGTCCACTTATGACATTTGTGGCTATATATACCAACAAATTCATTTCCCAATTTCCACCCTCTGTTTATCCCTTAGAATTAGACACGCTGCTTCTGTTACTGCGCCTTTAAGACAATGTTGGTAGGTGAGCTGTAACTCTGACTGTGCTCTGATGGAGCTTGTCTCATCACCGTTACTGCAGATTCAGCCCTGCAGGAGGATAAAAACCAAACAAAATAGACCAAAATGACCATGAAAAAGATGAAAAATATCAGAAATTTTACAAAACCAAAAAAAGTAGCTACCAAAAGGCTTGTATCCTACATTTGTCATGTATTCCATCTGTTCCTCCTGAGATCCACTTACTACATTTATGTGGCTTTATATACTGAAAAATTCATTTCTCCACCTCCTTTTTCCACCTTTTCTTCATCCCTTAGAGTTAAACCAGCTGCTTCTGTTGCTGTGCCTTTAAGACTGTTACACAGAACTGTGCAGAAGTTTTAGGCAGCTGAGAATTTAAAAAGCTATTTAATTGGGCAGTACGTGTTTATTGGCTTGGAAAAACACTAACATTAGAATACATACAAATAGCATCAATACAGTAAATAGTGATTTTGTTTCCATTTAACCATTTCCTGCCCTCTTCTCGAGGAAGCACAGTAGTGTTTGTAGTTATCATTCAACACTGCTTTATCTAATTAATATTTTATGTTAAATCAAATGATAGTAATAATAATAAACCTTTTTTATGTGGCACTCTTCAAACACTGAAAATGTAGCTCAAAGTGCTTTACAGGAAGAATAAGGAGGAAACAGAAATTTGAGGAAATAAAAGCATTGGATTGAAAAAGGGTAAGAAATAAAAATGATACAAATGAGTCCAAAAATACAAATAAAAGCTGCAGATTAAATTACGTAAAATAATGAAATAGGTGATTAAGTGAATACAACAGGCCAGGATAAATAATACAATATAAAAGTAGAGAAAAGCAAAAGTATGGTCTCATACAGCCCTGCAGGTGGATATGTACCAAGCAAAATAGACCAGAATGACCACGAAAAAGATGAAAAGAAATGTGGACACTTTAGATGCGTCTCCAGAAAACACTACAAGGAGAAGATCAGCTGATTGGTGGATCCATCTAACCTGCACATCTCCAGAGTTCAGAACATTGCAGTGTCTGAGATTTTACAAAAACTGGCTACAAAAGTGGCTAAAAAAATACATCAATTTACCCCAATAAATACATTAATTTACCTTAATAAAATCTCCTTAATCATCAAACACTTCAACTTTCTCTTGGAGGTGTTTAATGAGCAGCTAACAAGCAGCTACTTCACCTACTACAATAATGAGTGCACTTCTAATGGGATAAATGCTATTTTTTGCTTGTTTCTACCATCTGTCCATCTGTTTCTCTGCATACTTTGTTAGCCCCCTTTTACCCTGTTCTTCAGTGGTCAGGACCCCCATGGACCCTCACAGAGCAGGTACTATTTGGGTGGTGGATCATTCTCAGCACTGCAGTAACACTGACGTGGTGGTGGTGTGTTAGTGTGTGTTGTGCTGGTCTGAGTGGATCAGACACAGCAGTGCTGCTGGAGTTTTTAAGCACCTCAGTGTCACTGCTGGACTGAGAATAGTCCACCAACCAAAAATGTCCAGCCAAGAGCGTCCTGTGGGCAGCTTCCTGTGACCACTGATGAAGGACTAGAGGATGACCAACACAAACTGTGCAGCAGCAGATGAGCTATCGTCTCTGACTTTACATCTACAAGGTGGACTGACAAGGTAGGAGTGTCTAATAGAGTGGACAGTGAGTGGACACAGTGTTTAAAAACTCCAGCAGCACTGCTGTGTCTGATCCACTCAGACCAGCGCAACACACACTAACACACCACCACCACGTCAGTGTTACTGCAGTGCTGAGAATGATCCACCACCCAAATAGTACCTGCTCTGTGAGGGTCCATGGGGGTCCTGACCACTGAAGAACAGGGTAAAAGGGGGCTAACAAAGTATCAGAGAAACAGATGGACTACAGTCTGTAACTGTAGAACTACAAAGTGCACCTATATAGTAAGTGGAGCTGATAAAATGGACAATGAGCGTAGAAACAAGGAGGTGCTCAAAATGTTATGCCTGATCGGTGTATAGTGAGTTAGTATGCGGTTTGGGACAGTTTTGATCTCAAATATAAAAAGTACAGCAACAAATAAAATCAAATCAAAACGCTCAAATCTATCAGTTAATATGCTTTAAAAATGAAATTTTGAAAAGGGTTCCAAAAATAGCTTGTTTTACTGCCTGTGCTGCATCTGTCATGGCTTTATCTTATTACAAACCACCACAGCACTGCTGAATGAACTTGAACTTCCCTACCAAAAATGGCAGCAGCGCAATTGTGACATCAACAGAATACTATCAATATAAAACCCACTGTGCTTGTTTAGTTTTAACAGCTCAGCAGCTTGAACCAGCTAACACACAACCAAATTACAAATTACTAAAGTGTTAATCACAGCAGCTGCAAACTGAAATCTTGCTGCAACCACAGACTGAACCACATCTGTTAAAGTAAAGCTTACTCGCAAGCACAACTCTCAGGATCATACAGGCCTTAACAACATCTAAATTACCATTATTCACGCCAACAACAGAGCAGATAAACTAACAAATGAACTGTTTGTTTTTCCCGAACCGGAGTGAAACACCTTCTTCTCCAACAGCCTTTTACACAAATAACAATAAATAAATATGTTATGATGTCATAAATATCCCACTCACTCATCTCTGGTGCACTGATAAGCAGAAATCTGGCATTGGCTTTGAATGAAACTCAGTATTTTCAGTCTGGTTCTCTTGGTCAGCACAGTTTGGGTTCCACTGGACTAGATTAATAAAATGTACTTGCTGCATTTACAAATATCCACCTGTTCAGCCTACAAACGTTTGGTTCAGCACACTCATTCTAACTGCTTTCTGATCAGCAGCCAATCAGAGCAGAGCTCATTTACACATATCAGTCTTAAAGGCACAGTAACAAAAACAGCCTGTTTAATTCAAAGGGATAAAGAGAGGCTGGAAAATGGTCATATTGAAATGAGTTATGATTGTTTTTGGAACATAAAACCACACAAATGTTATAAATGGACTTCAGTGAAAAAAAATACATGAATACTGTAAAAAAAACAGTTTTTTCAAAGTGATAAATAGGTAAAGTTAAGAAGCTGGCTGCCCCAGCTGTACGTACGTTCAAATGTAGACTAGTTACAACACAAGTGTTTAAGCTCAAGTTTAAGCTGCACCACAATCTAGATTTAACGTTGAGCTTAGTTCTGACTAAAGATGCACAAATCCCAATAAGCAGATGTCATAAAACTCATCCCAATAAGCAGCTGTAAGTGTTGAGGAAACCAACTGAAACCAGATAAATGGCACAAAAAAGACCAAAAGCATGACTTTTGGGTTAACTATGCTAAAAACTAAATAAATTTTACTTTCTGCTCTAATTATCACCATGATTTTAACTCCAAACATGAAGCTGAGATCCACAGCTCCTGTTCAGTGAGACTCAGCAGCTGCTTAAAGGTCTAATTTGACGCTTGCTGTCTTGCTGGATGAGCAGAAACCGTCGTTTTAAAAAGCTGCCCATTCGTGTATTGCAAGAAAATATTACAGTATAAACAGACAGTGGCTACATAATGTTTACTTCTATACCGAATATAAAGCGATGAGCACAGTGTACAGCAGGATTGGGGATTGGTGGTGCAGCTGAATTTAGTGAATGGGTCGCAGTCTTAGTGAAGATTTTACACACAAATGTACACAAAACCAGGACAGCCCAGTCTGGGTCTTTGTGCCTCACTGACAATTAAAGCCTGACTGTCACCACAGCTTTCATTATTACTGTCTACTCTCAGTTATACAAGTCATCAGTTCCCCACTGCCGCTGACATCATCCACGTGAGCCTGCAGCATGTGGTCTCCAGACCTGTGGCCACAGCTGGTCCTCTCTCTCTCTGATATCAACAGCTGAGGAGCAAGTCCACAAGCCTATAAGGCCTTTTTTATAGGGCTGCCTGCTCTTCTTCTGGCTCTGCCCTCAGCTGTGGATAAGATAAGTGCTGCAGAGGGGGGCTTGATCAGGGTCCCAGGACCACCGCTGCAGTAACTTTTTTCCCCCAAGCTTTAACTTTTTGGGTTTAACCAAGATACAGTTGGGTAATTGAAACATCAGATGTATTTGTGTGCAATAAATAAAAAATGTTTTAATAAGAAGAGCTGCATGGATTCCACAGGTTTGTGTAAAAGCCTCTGATGAGCAGATCAGATCCACCTGGGATTCGTCTTAACACAAACTTCAATAGAAGAGATCAGACTAAAAACACATCCCACCTTCTTGTACAAAGGTCTCAGCAGGGTCAGCATGGTTTCACAAATTTGCTTCAGGTTGGAACAGTAACCTAGAAATAATGCAGAATTTCGAATATAAATTGTCATAACATTTCTGTGTTTTAAATTTTTAAATACTCTATTGTTTATTTACAGTTTTACATAA